TCACAAAAAGCTTCCCTAAAAAAGTTAAAGTTAAAAATTTGAAGTAGCACAACAACAGAAAACCCCTTTAGCAAAGCAGGAGGAGGGAGCAGGTCGATGGCGGCGTATAAGTGGGTAACAAGAATTGCCGTAGTGAACTATGTGTTTCTGGGTACCGAAATAAACGTAAGTCTGTGTGCACGTTAACACCGAGTTGAAATAGAAAGGGGGGAAGGGGCCATGGAAGTCCGACCAAAAAGTGGTCATTCCAGACAGGAAAGTCAGGGTTGTGCAAAGACAACGGCTGGTAATTTGCGGTCGTAGGTAAGCCGAAGAATAACAAAGGAAGAGGATATAGTGTAAAACAAAGAAGTGAGATAGTTATAGTATATTTATTTGATTTAATTATAAAATAGTTATAATATGGTTGTTAGTTAAAACAGTCATAAAATAATACACAAAATAATATAAAATATAAAATCATAAAATATAATCTAAAAAGTGGTCATAAAATAGTTATAATATAGTTGTATAATTTAGTTATATATTGTGTATAATCTAATTAATTTAATTTTTTCATTTAGTTTATTTAGTTTATTTGATTTAATTTTAATTTTTATTAATTTTAAATGTACGCCAGAAAAAGAAGTTGGGCTGGTCATGTAGCAAGGATGTCAGACAACCGATGAACGAAGTGGATAATGGATTGGTACCCACGCGCGATGAAACCAACCGATGGACGAAGCGAATAATGGAGTGGTATCCACGCGCGATGAAACGAACACTGGGGAGGCCACCAACACGATGGCGAGATCCAATCGTGGCCTTTATGGTGTCACCTGGTCTCGTCAGGCTCAGGATCGATCGAAATGGAGAAGTTGCCAGCTGCATCGATGGCATGACATCAGAGATCGATGAAACAACAGCTGTTCAAGGCATTCAAGGTATTAATTTTAATTTAATTTAATAAAGTTAAATAAAGTTATATAATAAAGAATGGTGGCGGATGAGATAATTGGGTTTTTGATGCTGTCGGACACGAGGCGAATGCTTGATATAATCGGCGATAGATGAAGACTGGGACAAAATCAGGCTTGAGATCAACGATAAGGTAAAACTGACGCCAACTGGGTGACGGGACGTCCGGTAAGTACCATTACCTGAAGATGGCGAGAAATCAAAGCAATTTTGCTGAAATTTATTTTTCTCCTAACCTGTGGCGGGCCAGCAATTTCGCTTGCTCGTCGTAGGCCAAGAATTAGTAGATCCAGCACCAGCCCATAGTACTGGACAACGAATGATGCGAATTGCAGTCCACGGATTATTCCAAACGAATTGGTATGATTCATATCCTTGTAATTGATCAGGACGTTGTTTTTCGCTGTCATATAATCGGCAATGTTGTGATCAACGATTAGCCTAAAAACAAAAGCATTTTTGCCAAAATATCGCAGATGCATGAAGCAACTGTGCTCATTTCCACTTAAAGATCTCGGTTTTTTTAAGTTTTAATTTCTGTAGTCGGTAGACGGTTACGATTTAAGAAACTTAAAAAAAATTAAGAA